CGGGTTTAGGAGGCAAACATTTTGTATTTCGTCTTTGATATCGATCTAGTTTTTGGAAACTTTTTACTTGATACTTTTATTGAAATTAATGCACATAATTTGATATTTTGAGCCCAAAGACAGACATCTTGCTGCCTGGGCAAAACACGAGACGGGCTCGCCTCTCTTTTCAAGGTGAGAAGAAACGGGGATATCGGGAGGGTTAAAAAGCGTACAAAACTTAATACAAATTGCTGGGGGATTGGGTCTTCATGTGGTTATACATGGGCAGATTGTGGTAGTTAAAGAGTGTGGTGTGTGTGCTTGATAGTGGGCGTGGTTGTGGTTGTGGTTGTAGTTGTGGTTCACTCCTTACCGAGTCCTGCATGTGTCCCTGGCCCTGGCTGTTCTTTAGGTAACCACCGCCGGGCGTCGGACCGCCACGGAACTGGCTCATCCCCGCCGCGGTCAGCAGCTGCGAGTTCATGAACTGCGTATTAAAGTTACCCATCGTGTGCTGAGACTGCGGACCCGGCGGTCCATTCGATCCAGGCGGTCCACCTTGATGGCCGCCGTACATGCCGGCCGCGGTGGCCAGACCATAATTTTGGCCACCACCGCCGGCACCTTGGGGCGGCGGGCCGCCATAGTATTGGGGACCGCTGGGGCCGCCGGGCGCTGAATTCGAGTAGTAGCTGTTCGACTGCAGCTGATGGGCGCCTGGTGGAGGTCCGCCCTGGCCCGGATGCGGTCCGGCATAAAGATTCATATACTGCTGGGCGGCTGCATAGGGCCCCGGTCCAGGTCCGGGTCCGGGTCCTGGTCCGGGTCCTGGACCGCCGCCGCTGCCTGCCGACTTGGAGCCAATGGCGCCAATCGGCTGCTGACTGGGCGGCGGCGGTTTTGCCGAGCCCGAGGACATCATTGAGCTGCTATTGGAGGATATGATGGCCACGGCGGCGGCATTGGGATTGTTCAGTTGTTGCGAATTGGGCTGCGGCTGGCCAAAGGGACCGCCGCCTAATCGGAACTGTGACGACAAATTGGAGTACATGTCCGTGGGCGCCGTTGGAGGCGGCGGCATATTGCCGCCATGACCATGCGGCGTCTGCATGGCGTACGCATTGAAGGCGCCGCCGGCGGCTGCCGCCGCTGCAGCTGCCGCATAATGACCCGGAAAACTGTGCGCAGCGGCGGCGGCTGCTGCCGCTGAATAGGCGGGCGAGCGGTTCGAATGATCAAGCGAATGGAATGGAGCGTACAGATTGCCCGCCTGCGATGGCGGCGGCGCCAGCTGCGATGAGTTGAACACAACCGCCGGCGGGCTGGGAATCGTTGGAATGCCGCCGACGCCAAACTGCGGCGATGCCTGATAGAACGGCAGCTGTTGCTGCTGCTGTTGCTGCTGCTGCTGTTGTTGTTGTGAGTGTTGCTGCTGTTGCGAGTGTTGCTGCTGTTGCGAGTGTTGCTGCTGTTGCGAGTGTTGCTGGTGGCTGGGCGGCGGCGACATGCCCAGACTGGCGTGCAGCTGCTTGGCCTTCACCTGCTGCTGATGCTGCTGCGAGTGTTGCTGCTGCTGCTGCTGTGGACTTGGGTAGTCCTCCTGTTGCTGCTGCTGCTGTTGCTGGAACTGTTGCTCCAGGGTGCCGGCATCGAAGGGTGAGCCGTGACTGCCATAGACTGGTCCTGGCGAGGACAATGCATGGTGGCCATGATGTGCCTGCTGTTGCTGATGATGCTGCGCTTGTTGTTGCTGCTGCTGCTGCTGTTGCTGCTGCTGGTGATGGCCCTGCATGTGGACCGCCGAGACAGCATAGTGGGGCATCTGTTGCTGATGCTGTTGCTGCTGTGAGGCAGCGACTGCGGCGACAAACGAGGCGGCGATATGGCTGCCGCTGTCATCCACCACAGAGCTCGAGACCTGCTGCTGCCCGTGCTGGCCGTGTTGGCCGTGCTGCGACTGTTGCTGCTGCGCATGTTGCTGCTGTGCAACGGCAGCAACAGCTGCTGCTGCCGCTGCTGCTGCGACTGCCTGATGTTGTTGTTGCTGCTGTTGCGAGTGTTGCTGTTGTGCATGCTGCTGTTGCGAGTGTTGCTGCTGCTGCTGCTGCTGCTGTTGTTGTTGCTGTTGCTGCTGCTGTTGCTGTTGGCTCGACTGTTGCGTTGCCTCCGACATGGGCGTGGCCGATTCCCAAACCTTTTTCACGCTCGCTATCTTCATGTTCAAATCCGCCGTGGAGTTGTTTTGCTGCTGCTGCTGCTGGTGTTCCAGGCTTTCGACCACCTTGAGAGCGGCAGCATCGTCGCTGAAGCTGAAGCCGAGCTTCATGTCCTGCTGCTGCTGCTGTTGGTGCTGCTGGTCATCGTCATTAGCGCCGCCAAAGCTCATCTGGGAGAGCGCAGTCGACAAGCTATCGACGGCTGCGGCTGTTGCTCCTCCCAGCGTTGGCTGCTGCTGCTGCTTGAGCGGCACAGCGGCTGCTGCCTGATGCTGCTGCTGCTGCTTGTACGTCGAGTTCTCAAAGATAATCGTGTTAACTGGCGCATTAGCATCGATCAGAAGACTGCCAGCTCCCACCACACCGACACCGACACCAACGCCGACGCCCAGAGCGCTCTTCTCGCCAATGGCGGACAGCTTGGATTTGTCGCCGATGGGCGCTGTTGCTGCTGCCGTCGGCGGTGCAATTGTTGTGCATTCGCTGCTCTTCTTTTTGCCGGGCACGTCGCTGCCTGGGGCAGCTAATAGGGGCGGCACACCTCCAACAGCAGCAGCCGCAGCTGCAGCCGCAGCAGCAGCGGCAGTTGCGCTCAGTCCTGGCGGCGGCCTGGCTGCTGCTGCTGCAGTTGCGGGCGCATCCTTGTGTGGCTCCTCCTTGGCCACGGCAGTGTTGGGTATATTAATGTTGGTGATGTTGCTGATATTGCTCTTGTCCTTGTCGGGCGACAACTCCTCCTTGTCGTCCTTGCCCTTGTGCAGTCCCGCACTGAGCGCCAGCTGATTCAGCTTGGTCTTGTCCAGGTCCGCAGCAGTTGATGCATTGCCTGTTTCCGATTCCGAGCTGCGCTGCTTGCCATACTCCTCATAGCCCAGCCGGCCGTATGCCCGTCCGCCGCTTGCTGGTTGGCGTCGAAAGCCGGGCGCTGAGCTGCCACTGGAACTGGATAGACCACCGCGACCGCGTCGCGATGGTTCGCCGCGTGGCGAAAAGCCCGCCTTGTTGACAACGGCTCCTCCTCCTGCTGCTGCTGCTGTTGCTGTTGCTGCTGACTGGCCGCCAACTGTGGAGGCACCGCCTGAGCCGCTGCTATTGCTGCTCTGCTCTGAGCGTGACTGCACTTTGGGACTGCGTCTGGACGTTCCGCCACCGCCACCGCCACCGCCACCGCTACTGTAGCAATCCTCGTCAACGTCCTCGGATTGCTCGGACTGTTCACCGCCGCTGCCATAGTAGCGACGCCCCCCGCCGCCTCCTGCAGCGCTGCTGTTGCGGCTGCTCCAGTCGCTGCTGCTGCGCTGTCCACGATAGCTGCCAGCCGCATTACCGCCGGCTCCGCTGGCCGGATAGCTACGGCCGGCACCACGTGTGTGGATTTCGTCACGACCGCGACCACCCCGTGGACTTGGCCGTTTGCCGGCCACTGGCTGCGTTGCGGACATGGCTGTCGAACATATCGTTGAGTTGCGCGACGCATCCTTGTCGTCATCCTTGCTGGCGACGGTTTGGAATGCCATCGACTTGCATAGCTCCGTTTCGGCGCACTTGTCGCTCGTCTCACGCTCCGCTATCTTCTCATCCGACTTGTCAACGGGCTCCACGCTGCGTCTCAGTATCTGTGTTGGCTGTATGGACTGCATGGAGTCGAGGGGCTGCTTCTGGTGCGCGCCTAATCCGCCGGCTGCAAGCGGTTTCTCCTCGCTGAGGCTCGGCTGTCGCGCTGGCCGCTGCAGTATCTTGATCTGCACAGCCGAATCGTGGCTGTGTGTCGATGAAAAGCTTTCCTCGCGATGACGATGATGCTTCTGCTCAGCATCCGTTTGCTCTGCCCAGGAGGAACAGCTGCCGCCGCCGCCACCGCCGCCGCCACCACCGCCGCTGCCCATGCCAACATCGTCACCGGAGGAAACGCTCGTCTTGCGATGCGAGTTCTCCGAGATGCTGCGCGACTGCATCAATTGCTGTTGCTGCTGTTGCTGTTGCTGCTGCTGCTGCTGCTGCTGTTGCTGATGCTGCTGCTGTCCACTGCGATACTCCTGGCCGCGCGCATATCTCGACTGGTCCAGGTCGCGCGCACCGGACGAACCAACTGATGGCGCATCCAGCTCCTCTCGGGCGCTATCATGACGATTGCGCCCGTAGCTGCCGCTGCTGCCGACACGCGCATAGCCGCCAGAGATGCTGCGCACGCCGCTACCGCTGCCACCGTTGGAGCCGCTGCCGCTGCTACCGCCGCCGCCCTTTTGCAGATAGCGTGAGCCGCTGCCCTCGAAGGCGCTGCTCGCGGAGGCGCTCTTCTCCAAACCGCCGCGCGGCAGTTGCTGCTGCTGTTGTTGTTGTTGTTGCTGCTGCTGCTGCTGCTGCTGCTGCTGCTGGCGCTGGAAGCGAGGCGGTAAATTCGATTGGAAATGCGTCATGAAAACTGGCTTCTGTCCGTAATCGCCGGCAGCTGTGCTTGCCGCAAGCGAGGATGAGGCTGCGCCACTTCCACCGCCACCGCCACCTCCACTGGCGCTGCCCATGCTGGAGATGCTGCCACGTGGTCGACGCTGCTGTTGCAATTGCTGCTGTCCGGCACCGGCACCCTCATCCTCACTGACATTGCCAAGTAGCACGGCTGGGAGCTCACCAGATGCCGGACTGGTGGCAATGCCCTCGCTTAGCGCCTTCTTGCAGTTCATTTTCATTTCAAGCTCCTGCAGCTTTTTTGCCGCCGCCTGCTTGCGCTCCATCTGGCGACGTTCCTCCTCCTCCTTGCGCTGCTTTACACGTTCATAGACGCCGGCATCGAGAGCAATGCCGCCGCCGCCGCCGCCGCCGCCGCTGCCAACGACCACATTGCCGGAACTGCCGCGATGGCCGTTCTGTTGTCGCTGCTGCTCCAGACCCTGATCGGAGGGGCCATCCAAGTCCCGTTCGCTGCTGTCCTTGCCACGCTGCCATGAGCTGCTGGTGGACAATTTGCGCTGATCATTATTGCTGCTGCTGCTGCTGCTGCTGGATTGGATTGACTGCTGCATCTGTTGCTGCTGCTGCTGCTGCATCTGTTGTTGATGTTGATGCTGATGCTGGTGCTGTTTGTTGTGGCTGTTGCTGCTGTTGTGGTGCTGATCCTCGGGGCTGGCATGCTCCTCGTCGTCGGAGAATGTTAGTTTCCTGGTGTAGTCAATTTCATCCTGTTTCGTCCAGCTGTCATCCTTGGCGATCGCATTCAGACGCTCCAGATCCTCCTCGCGTATGATTGGACGCTGCATTTGTGCTACCTCCGGCTCTACGACATAATCCTTGTCCTTGTCCTTGCGACCACCTGGTCCATTCGCCTGCTGCTGCTGCTGCTGGTGTTGCTGCTGCTGCGGAGGCGTTGTCGCCCCACTGCCGCCCATCGCCGATGATGGCGGTGGCGTCGTCGTCGCAGCTGAGCCGGCAGCTGGTCGCTTCGGTATTGCGGCCGCAGCACGAAAACTGCCCAGAACGGCCGGTGAGGCGGATCGGTTGCCGGCGATGCCATTCTGATAGGGAGCGGGCGAAGACGATGCCAGATCTGCGGCAATGCAAGAGGCGGCATTCGCAAGGGCGGCCGCCATCGTGGGCGCTCCTCCTCCCAGACCGGAGGCGGGCAGCGGTGCTCCGCTGCGCATAAATGACGGCATAAGTGAGAGTATGGGCAGTGGTACACTGCCGCCCGATCCTGCGCCCACACCGCTGCCGTTGGCCGGTATCTGGTGGCCCAGGCCCTGTTGGTTCAATGCCAACTCCTTGGCGGCCTTTTCCTGTTGCTGCAGCCAAGCGGCTGGATCGGTTTGGGGCCGCAGGCTCATCTCGCTGAGTTCGCCGCCGCCGCCACCGCCGACGTCGTCGCTGCCATCTCTGTAACTGCCGGGATCTGCATTGGCGCCGCCGCCGCGATGCGAATGGTGTCCGTGTCCGCCATATTGACGCCCATGATGGCCATGATGATCGCGATAATCGCGCTGCTGTTGCTGCTGCTGATAATGATGATTCTGGTGATAATGCGCATGTTGCTGTTGCTGCCCCTGGTAATGCGCCTGCTGATCCTTTGATTTGCCACCGGCACCGGCTGCGCCCGCGTGCCCACCAGAGGATGCAGCGCCACCGCCGCCCATTAGTGTGGGGAACTCGTATTGAAATTGCGGACTTTGATAGTGCGGCACCACCTGCTGCTGCTGTTGCTGCTGGTGCGTCTGGCGGTTGCCATAGTGGCCATGGCCACCGTTGCCGCCTGCACGCTCGTGTCCTGTCGTTATTGCTGACCATGTTTTGGGTGAATTATTTGAGTGGCCGCCGCTGCCGCTTGCAGCAACACCACCCGATCCTGCTCCGCCTCCGCCTCCGCCGCCGCCGCCGCCGCTGGCTGAAGCGCCTCCGCTTGTTGCCGAGTTATTAATTAATTTCAAGTTCTTATTGTTGTTGCTGTTGCTGTGGCTGTTATTGTTGCTGGTACTGTTGTTATTATTGCTGTTGTTGCTGTTGCTATTGTATTTATTAGCGCTGTTGTGCTGCTGTCCAAGAGCTAATCCTCCTGCTGCGGTGCCGCCGCTGCTGTGTCCAGTGGCGATGTTGTTGTGGCTGCTGCTGCTGTTTGCACCTGCGCCAGTTGAGCCTGGTGCTCCGTTACCTGTTCCGCCCGCACCTCCTGCGCTAGAACTGCCGCCGCCGCCGCCGCTGCTGCTGCTGCTGGTGCTGTTGTTGCCTAAAATGGCGCGCATAGCACAGAGAGCAAAAATTTTAAATTAAGTTCACAAGAGGTAATTCAAATGTCAAGCCGCACTCACCTTCGACAGATGCAAGGAGATTGTTGTTGGTGCTGTTGTTATTGTTGCTTAAGGGCGTTGCACTGTTGCTGCTACTGCTGCTGCTGCTGTTGGTCTCAGCCTTCAGGGATGGCAGATTGGCTGGTGGTCGCCTAGCGGAAGGCACTTTGCCCAAGATTTGCATTCCATGTTTACGCGGCACTTGATTCTTTTGGGCTGATGGTTCACTCGATTCGCCCTGCAAAATATTGTATATAGAATATAGGCTTGCACATGGATGTTGGCCGAAGGGCCGGTTAAGTAATGCAGGAGGGGCTGCTGGTATTCTTTACTACTTACACGGCTATTCTTGTACATGCGATTTATATCCAACGCTGTGAATTTGGGCTTGGCATTTCGCTCTCCCCTACTTCCCCCCAGTGTACTCATGCTGCCAATAGATCCTCATTAGCGTTAGCTTCCTTTGCCGCCTACTGCCGCCGCGCTCCACGCTAATCGCTCTCTCGATGCGGTTTCTGTTGCAGTTATATGCGGATTTTTGAATTGTTGTGTTGGGATGTGCAAATGTCGAGGAGGTCGAGATCTCTTCTAGGTGCCTCCTTGGCGCCTTGCGTTTTGTTGTTGTTGTTGTTGCTAGTTTTTCTTTACTTGTGTGTGTTTGCTGTGTTTGTTCTCAGTCTTGTGTGAGCTGTAAAACGACTAAGAGCAAGAGCGAATAAGAGAGAGAGTCCATTTTAAAAGAGGGTGTGGGTGTGGGTGGTTCGGGGTGTCATATTGTAAGCTGCTGCTGCTGCTGCATTTGTTTGTTGCAATTTTTGTGTATTGTTTTATTTGTTTTGGTACGTGGGCTGCCGGGTCGCCTTGCACTCGTACCATGTAGTGTATGTGTGGGTGTGTGTGTGTATGTATGCGCACCTCCATGGGGCCTACCCAACCTCCCCATGCCCATGCCTGCGTGTGAGCAGTAACCGAACATAAGGCAAAGAGCGAGCCAAGCATAGGTAGCCGATTATGGTAAAATAACATGCGCACAAGCGAGATGGCTATAAGGACCACTCTCTGTGAATTGTCTGCTTGCGCTCAAATGCTGGGCGCCCCCGCCCCCGCAACTACGCACGACCCACACACAGAAACAGAACACAAGACACAAGAAGTATGCGGTGGCGTCTTCGTGTAATAAATGAAGAAGAACAATGGCTGACACACAGAAGCCTGGCAGCACCATTAAGCAGCAGAAAAAAAAAATCAACAACAACATTGCAAATGCAAACTTTTCAATTGTTGGCAATTTGTGAATTGGCCATTTCTATTGCTAATAGGGGGTTTAGCAGGTACAAAATCGTAAGACAATAATGCTTGGTAACAATTTTTAAAAGTGGTCTTAACAAAAACCATTCACACAAACGCACACACATACACAGTCGCACAGGCATCGGGCGACACACGCGCACTTTGCTTTGTTATTTCCGTGGTTTATTATATGCCACAGACCAGCTTAATTATAAGCTACACACTTTTCGAAGCCTGGCTGAATAAACACGACATTTGGTGCACACTTATTGAGTCTCGAGTCGTCGAAAGGCACAGTAAAATGTTCCGTTTAATAGCGAACACACACACACACACACAGGCATGCTCGCTCACACTCGACACACACACACATGCATGCACCCTTAAACGAATACGCACTCGCAGAACTGTTTGGATGGTTGACTGAATTATTGGCTTGATTGCATTTTTGGTTGCATTTGCATTTATTCACAATGAACTGCGTTGTCTTTCTATTCGAAATTCGATTTTTTCAATAAACATTTACTTTTATTATAAAATTAGCTGCACAATATCCACCGCGCGAGAAGTTTGCCGCTGCTGCTTCTTCTTGCTGGTGCTACTCTTTTCGCAGTATATTTGTATGTGTGTGTGCCTGGCGGTGGAACAGCGTTGCCACATGCGCTCGATATATCGAACCAGACTTTTAACATAATGTTTTCCTCATGCACGTAATGTTATCGCAACGCAAAATAAATACGTACACATAATTATTAAGCTTATGTGTTAATAAGATATTGCAAACATTGGTAATGCGAATGCAAATCAGAAAACAAATGATAAACCTGCAGTGTCGCCGCCGCCGCCACCGCCACCGCCACCGCTAACGACAATGCAACAGCAGCAATCGTGTGCAGTGCGAGTGAGACAATAAGAGCATGTGGTCTATACAACAACAATAACAAAAACATCAAACAAGAAAACGTAAATGTATATAGTGCTTACCCTTTTACACTCAGAGCATACACCGCACACACAGTTCGTTGCTCCTTGGCTCCTTTTTTTCTTTCTTTTGTACGTTTTTTGCACTCTTCTACGCTTACTCAGCCGTTTGCAAAAAAAAATATAACCAAATGTTTTTTGGGTAAGACACGTTTGTGTGTGTCTTTCTTTAATGAAGAGCGCGGTGGCGTATACGATTTATAATTTGTTTGTTTTTTTCGTTTGGGCCAAATCAGATATATTTCCCGTGCCGTCGCTATTCAACGCGTTTGGGCCGCTGTTGTTGGCTGTGTTGCGCTGGCTGCCCGTCTGTCTTTCTGTCTGGCTTCGGCTCTCCTACGTTCTCGCTTGTTAGCGCTCTCTGTCTCACTACCGTCGTTCTCCAATGCTGCGGCTGCTGCTGCTGCTCTGGTCGCTTTTTGCAAGTGTATAGATGAAAAATGTAATCGAAATCCAAGGTGCTAAAACTAGTTTGAATCACTTTTCCTCTTGGATTATTTGAATATAGCACACACACACGCCCAATATGTTGGCGTTTATAACACTATCTTGTTTAGCATTAACTTTATTATTACTTTTGGTGCGTTCTTTTCACGTAATACGTAATTGTTCCATTAGTTTAAATCGTATGTATTTTTTGCACACAGTGCTGCCAGCTTGCGCTTACGGCGTTGCATTCTAGTGATGAGCGATATGTTATTGGGGGAGTACATTCTGTTAAAGTAAGGAGCAAACCCATTAAATGTGAATATATGCCTGTTAAGTGTGGAGTAATACTGTTAAATGGAATAAAATATATGCAATGTTGGGGGTTGCATTTAAATATGTAGTCAATTATAAGCAGTATGGCAACACCGATATTATCTGTGCAATCGATTAGTTTTACACTAAACATTTTTGTCTATCGAATTTTTTAATTTAAGGCGCTTTCTCGAAGTATTGTCAGAACGAAAATTAGCAGTCAGCATTTTATAATTATTTGTCAGAACGTCAAAGGCATATGTGTAAAAGGAGCACAGTCAACTGAAAATAAAAACAACGATACCAAAGATGGGCAAGGATTTTTATAAGACACTTGGTATTAGTCGCAACGCCAGGGACGACGAGATTAAGAAGGCCTATCGCAAACTGGCCCTCAAATACCATCCGGACAAGAACAAGAGCTCCAAGGCGGAGGAGCGTTTCAAGGAGGTGGCCGAGGCCTACGAGGTGCTGTCGGACAAAAAGAAACGCGACATATATGATCAGTACGGCGAAGATGGCCTTAAGCATGGCATACCCGGCAACCACAACGATCAGGGCGGCACGAGCTTTGCCTACCAGTTCCATGGCGATCCGCGCGCCACATTTGCACAGTTTTTCGGTTCGAGTGATCCGTTCAGCATGTTCTTTGGCGAGAATCTGGAGCAAATCTTTATGACAGACGACAGCAGTCCGCGCGGCCTTTGGGGTGGCATCGGCAATTTTCAGTCACGCCCCGAACAGGATCCGCCCATTGAGCACGAGCTGTACGTCTCTCTGGAGGACATCAACAATGGCTGCAATAAGAAAATGCAAATTTCACGGATCAAAATGGCCAGCGGCCAGCCGCGCAAAGAGATCAAATTGCTCGATATTGAGATCAAGCCCGGCTGGAAATCGGGCACCAAGATCACATTCCCAAAGGAGGGCGACGAGGCGCCAAATCGCATACCGGCCGACATTGTGTTCATCATACGCGACAAGCCGCATCCGCAATTCCAGCGCGAGGGCAGCGACATTCACTATACAGCGCACATAACGCTGAAGGAAGCGCTCTGCGGCGCGACCATACAGGTGCCCCAGCTGATGGGCAATCCGTTTCCATACTGCACCAGCGGCGAGATCATAAAGCCGAATACGCTGAAGCGCTTTAATGATCGCGGACTGCCCTATCCGAAGAATCCGTTGCGTCGCGGCGCCCTATGTGTCAACTTTGAGATCAGCTTTCCGGATACATTGCCAACGCGCCTGATCGCAGCGCTGGGCGAGCTGCTGCCCAATTGTTAACACACACACACACACACACACACACACGTAATCACAATTCCAGATAACTCGTTTAATGTAAATTCCTTGTCAAATGGTGCAGTCTGCGGACAACATAAGATGCTAAGCAATATAACATATAGCAAAGGTCCATACTAGGCGTGCGGCTTGAACTGCGGATTGTGGGAGCGGGCCATTTTCGCCTTGAGCCACTCGTCCGCGTGCCGCTGCTTGATGTGGACGTACATATTGGAGCGACTGCGGCACTCTTTGGGGCAATGCGGGCAATTGTATAGCTGCAGGCCGGTGTGTATGGCCATATGCTCCTCCAGATTGCGCTGCTGCTTGAAGCTCTTCTCGCAGTACGTGCACTGTAGATTTGTTGTCAGCTTGTGGGCATATTTAATGTGGGCGCGCAGCGCCGTGCGGGAGCTGCACGTTTTCGAGCAGTGCGGGCAGACGGTATCGGTGCTGTCGTGGGTGAAGCGATGCAGTCGCAGGCTATGCTCATTCTTTAGCCAGACACCGCAAACGGGGCACTCCATGGCCGGCGCAACAACGCCCTGATGCTCCAGCAAATGCCGTTCGAAGGATGGCTTAAACTTGAACTTTTTGCCGCATATATCACAGACATGCGGATGCAGATCCTCGTGTATCGACTGTATATGGCGACGCAGTCGATGCACATTCGCAAAGCTGCACGAGACAGACAGAGAGAGAGAGAGAGAGAGGTGCATGCGTTAGAGCGAGCTGGATTATGTGGCATGAAAGACGGCGCACCTCTTGTGGCATATGTGACACTGGTGCTCCAACTGATCCGTATCGTGCTTAAGCAAATGATTGCCCAGTCGGCGCTCACTGCTGAAGGTGCGCTCGCACTTGGGACAGGGATACTTAAGCACCTTGCCAATCTGGGCCACCTTGTTGTGCACCGTTTCAATGTGGGTAGCCAGATAGTCCTGCGAATTAAGCGACTTGTTGCAAATGGAGCAGCTGCAAGGCGAATAAACTTGTTATTTTCGGTTAGCTAAGCGCTGAACGCTGAATCGGACGTTACGTGAATAGACTGGGATTGATGTGTTTGCGTATGTGATCCATCAGCTTGGAGGCGCGATTGAAGACCTTGTTGCAGCACTTGAGATACGCATCGCGCTGATGCACTTCCAGGAAATGAACCTTAAGCTGGGACAGGTACTTGGTACTAAAGTCGCAGAGATCACAGTCGGCGCTCATATAGCTGGCGATGGCCTCCTCGTAGCGCTTGGTCAGCTGCGCACGGGAACAGCCCTTGGGCTTGCGCTCCAGTGCCGCTTGCAATTCGCTCTTTTGTACATCGGTTGGCGCACTGTTTGTGGGTTTTTTGCGCCGTGATCTGCTGCCCGCGCGCTCGCTGTCATCCAACAGCTGATCAAGCTCTTGGGCTAGCGTCAGCGTTCGCTTGTTTCGCCGTCTAACGGCGCGCGCCTGGCGCTTTGGCTTGAGCTTGTGCTGCAGCCTTACCAGCGGCACTTCGTCTGTAAGCCGGCAAGTTGTTTCAATCTGCTTCGAGATGCTGTTGAGCACTTACCATCATCATCATCATCATCATCATCTGCTGAGGAAGCGTTCTGCGCGCTGTCGCTGCTGTCGTGCAGTATAGGCTTCTCCTCGACATCTTCTTCGTCGTCATCGGTAGGGTCGGGCGCCAGCAGCGGCGGTAAATTTTCAGTCTGAGACTGTTTTGGGGCAGTTGTAAGCTGCGGCACCTCCACACTATCCACGTTCACGTCAAGCACACTGCCGAGCAGGTGGAGATTGTGTATATCTAGCGGCTTCTCGTCCATTTCATCGGCCACCAGTGGCAGCTCATCAATGTTGACATCCACATCGATGCCCGTCCATTTGAGGGCGACACAGTCGACGTCCACATTGAGGAATTCCTTTTTAAGTGTTCCTTGTTTTTGCTCCACCAGCTGCCAAAAGTTGTTAAAGTCCTCCAAGTGCTCACAGCACTCGTGGCAAATGTTGGTCGAGATGTTGTCATCGGGCATTATCTGCAATCCATCAATAAATGCACTCAATTTCTCTGAATAATTGGGGCATAGCGAAAACTTACCTCAAGCTGCAGAAACTTGGCTATCATCTTCAGCAGCGAAGATTCAGCCAGTGTGTCGTTGGTTTCGAACAGGTAGACGGCATTGTTTGCGTTTATGTTTTTTAAACACAAGCGACAGATCATTTTGCGGCGTTTTCAACATAAATTTAAGCAATTCAATTATTATCAATTGTTTGGTTTCGTTTAGCGATGGCCTCTTATTTGATTTACTTATCGATATACTGAAGTAATGTTAAATCGATATACAAAAACGATACACAACAAAGGTTTTTGATTTCAAAAAACTCTTAACTGCTTGATATAAATGAACAAAGCCACATATATGTATGATAATTTTTATGCAATTTTTGTATTAACTTATTTATTTATGTCTATCGATATGCAATGTTTACGAACATAACGAGAAATATCGAATAATATTGCCAGCTAGTTTTTTAGCAATTCTACTTTTAAACTTATTTGGGTTTGTGCTTAAAGACATAAATAAATGCATTTAAAAGTGAGCGATTCCGTTTCCAATACCAATTAAAAAATATCGACGCTAGTTTGACGCACACGGATGCACAATATGCATCGATGTTTGCCATTTAAAAATCGTGCTATCGATATCAAATCATCAGGAGTATCAAAACATCTATCGATATGCAGCAACAATTGTAAGGCTAAAGAAGATTACGCAGCGCCAATGCTCAGCCGGTGACGTCATATGCACAACCTTTTCTTGTTTGAACTGTGCAAAGCATTGTGACGTATGTATTTGCAATATTCTTATATTTGTATAGTTTTAATTATATGATTATTTACCGCTCGCATTATTAAAATTGACAATCTGTGACGTCGTTGTAAAAACTCAGCAAACTAGTGTACAACTGTTTTAAACAAAGTGTGTGTTTCTTATACTCTTGTATATTTTGTTGAAAATATTGCCTTTGCGGCACGCATATGTTCAAATTGTATGTGAGTTTGGAGGGGGCAGCAATAATCGACTTATCGTAATGCATGTCTGTTAAATCGATTAATGTTGCGCGCCCAATTCCCAATTTGTCGTAGCCAATTGTGCGAGTGCGCGCAGTTTGTTTTTGAACATTTCAATTATAACCAAAATAACAAAAAGGAAACAAATTATAATACATATGCATAACTTTTAACTGTAATTTAGTGCACTCTCTGCGTGTTATGTTTGGAAACATGGCGCGCACCGCCTACGACGTACAACGGGACTTTGCATTGAGCAGCGGCTTGCGTTCCGAAATTATCTGGGACTCGTAGGTTATGAAAACATATACATACATAATATGTTTATGTTTTTGTCTGTATATGAAATGAAAGCTTATCGAATAAATTGCCCGCAGGCTGGCGCCCGAGCAGGCGGACGTTCTGCACCAAAAGCTGGCGAATCTGATCTGTGAGAACGAAGGCAGCGGCGTGGGCAGCGGCGGGGGTCAAAGGTCCAAGGCGCTGGCCAAGCAGCGCCAGCTGCTGTTCGAGAACATATGGAAGCAGCGCATCTATACGAATCGCATCCTGCTCTCAGCCATTATCTATGTGCTGGTCACCAAGGAGACGGACCCGGCATTGGCACTGAAGTCGACCAGCTTTAGCTGCCATCCTGTCATACGTACGCGGAAATGCATGCGACCGGATGGTGGCAATAGCGAGGGCTGCTGCATGATCTTCATCGATGAGCAGGGACGTGTCTACGCCAACTGGCACAACTATGTGCGCAACAATGCCCTGCCCGGGGGCACCATGATAGCGCCCAGCCAGGGTGTCTATACGTTTAGCAACGACGAGGTGCAGCTAATGGTGCAGGCGTCGCCCGCCTCATGGTTGAAGCAGAAGCTTCTGAAGGTCAGTGATAAATTGGTCACAATTGGTGGCATTGTCGCCACGGTGCCTGTGGCGGCCACTTTGGCATTGCCCGTCGCTGGACCCATACTGATGGCAGCCACTGTTGTGGGCGTCTCGACGGCTGCGTATAGCACGGTGCGCTCCGCCTCCCGGCTAATAGATCGCCGCTGGCACGGCCAGTCCACATCTTTGGCGGACAGCGAGGCGCGCAGCAGCTGGTTGGGCATAGCGGGCGGTGTTGCCGGCCTGGGCGCCACCGGTGCCAACACAGCGATTAAAACCATTGCACGTGGCAGATCAGGCATAGCCGCTAATCTGGCCGTCAAGGGCATCAATGTGTCCTCTATTGTGCTCTCCGGCACGGGTGTGGTAAACGTCGTCTATGATCTGTACCTAAAGATCAGCGACGATCAGCCGCTGGACAGCTACGATATAATGCAGATCGCCTCCAGTCTGCTCATATTCACGCACTCCATCAACAATCTGCGCATCGCCTCCAAGGCAACCAATGGCTATAGCCTGCGTCGAGCACTGCGCCAACAGAGCCGCAAAGTGTTTGATCGCATCGCACAGGAGACGGCCAAGCTGCACGAGCACAAGACTGGCGCCAAGTACGACATTGTGCGCATCATCAATGATATACCCTATAAGGAGGCGCTGCTCAGCCTGCACAAGATCCACACGCATCTGGCGCAGGGCGCCACCGTTCTGGGCGCTGCGGCTGCTGCTGGCGTGCTGCCCAGCTTTGTCAATTTATCCGCCGGCGGGCAATTGCGTCTGGATATGCAGCAGCTGGCCAGCCAGCTGGGCGTCAAGTTTGTCCAGCAAATTGGCCATTTGGGCAGCTTCACGGACGTACTCGACGGCCTAACCCGCTACTTTAGCGAGCAGGCGGTCCAATTGCTGCTCCAGCTGACGCGCACCTTTGTCGAACATCAAGTGGAGAACATTGATCGCACCCTAAACACGTTTGTCTCCACGGAGCTCGTGCTCTATCGCATGCTCATGCACTGCATCAACAGCTATGAGAACTGCGCTGTCGACTTTCTAGAGCAGCGTCGTTACGAGATTCTCGATGTCATTGGCAAGTACTTTCAATCCCTGCAACCGGAGCCGGCTAGCGCACAGAATTGCCGCCGGCGCAAGTGCCCCAAGTGCCATGGTGTCTACTATATGTGTCCATTGTGATAGCTCCTTTCCTCAGCTGCCAAAAAAAAAAAAAAAGTCATCTGTAATGTGATCTTCAATGTGTATCCTGCCCAAAATATGTGATTCGTTCTCTTTTGTCTTGTAACCTACTTTTTTCATGTGTGAAACTGTTTGATAAACTAACTTATTTAAAACTAAAGCAAAATTATCTTTGGTTTGGCACTAGATAAAGATAAAGAAAGATTATTTTATTTACTTCATTATTTGAAAAAATCGACGCCAAAGAATTCAACATAATTAAATTAATTAAACACTTAATACTATTTAATATATATTCTCTATACACACCGAATTCAACTAGAAATTATACTACAAAAGGAAAGATCACTTAATTGACTGAATATGCAATAAAGCTCATCGTAGTTCAAACGAATCAGGTAGAGACTTTATAAGTACAATCCAGTAAATCCGTTTAGGGCTCATTCGATTGGTTAATCGGTTCCTTTAAATGCCTTCCACATGCGATCGAATTCCGCCTGGAATTCGCTGGCCAACAGGTGATTGGAGGTGATGACCAGATTTTCCCAGTTGGCGCCAAAGCCGCCCTGTGTCCAGTTGACGGAGCCATTGATAAGCACGCTGTAGGTGGGTGGCGGGCCATACGAGCGTCGCTTCCGACCCCAAATGTGATCGACCCGCGTGCGTCCATCGATCACACAGAATTTGTGATGCATAAAACCAACAAATGGCTGGCTGCGGACTCTTAGGCCCCCGCGCATGAGATTAAATATCGCGAGGTTGATCGATGTACCCACAGGTTGGCTAACAATGAGGCGTATGGCCACGTTGCGTTGCAGTGCCCTGCCCAGGGCAAGCAAAATCTCCGGCGAGCTCAATGAATACATGGCCAGGTCAATGCTGTATTTGGCACGTGCCAACTGTTCGGCGACTCGCTCGATGTGGCGCTGGGTGCAGTGCGTGTTCGCGCAAATGAAAAATTTACCCTTTCGGCTGTGCGCCCGATGCTCCAAGAAACACTCAAAGCCCAGCTCGTTGAACATGAGCACTTCGTGGACCTGCGCCAGGCGCCAATTCAGCCGGTCGCGTACATAATTGTAGAAATACCATAGCACCTCGGAGGCGGCAATGGTGCCGGCGCCAATGATAAGCGTTGACCAAATCGGATGGTTCCTGATCCACGGCAGCACTGCAAATGCATTATTATTATATTGTACAATGGTTGAGGCGCACTTTTTACTCACTTTTTGGATAAGAACATATCTTACGCGCCCACGTAAATTGAATTGCTGTAGATGCGAATCGGAACTAGCTCAGCCGAGGACGCTTTTTTGCAGTGAACTGACTCTTCGGCTTAAATTCGTGTGGTCAGTTTATTCTTTTAATTAATATTTGACAATAACTTTCTTGAATAAATGCACATTTTAATGCAAAGAATGCAATTTTTTAATTTTTCCAGAAGTAGTTTAAATAAATTTGCTTATTATACATTGCATTTTTAACATAATTAACCAATATCAGAACTGCTGGTTCCGGAAAGAACATGTAACTTACATGCTGTTATCAAATGAATGAAAATGAGCAAATCGCACGCGATGAGGAGCTAAGGAATGTTACAAATTTACTAGCAGCAGTGTGCACGCAATTCAACTCTGTTAAAAATACCAAATACCGTATATAATACAACATAAAATACCAAAACAACTCACTTTACAGTGCGCGCTCAATTTGATCCTATTTATAGAGTAATTAAAAGTAAATAAGATAAATACGGATGAAATAGGTGGCATTCATAGCCACGTTCTATGCTACGTCTACGTCTTTGTGTCATGAATTTACAGCACATTCATATACAGAATGCGCTTCTAAACGCGCTATGAGCAAACATTTGCACACGGAAAAGTGCAGTTTATTTTTCATTTAATGAAAGATGAATTGGTTTTGATGTCATGGTCAATTTCAAACTTGAACATCCATCCAACAGCGGCAAAATACCAAAAAGTAAAACCAAAAAGTAAAACCAAAAACTAATACCAAAATTAAATACCAGAATCTTATACAAATGATATAGTTTGTTTGATGTGTGTATGTATGACCGACAGCAAGCAGTGTGAGCGAGCGAGGAGACGACCAAGACGGTTCGCCGAGAGTTACGCACTGAGTATGTGCTGGCGGCGGATAACGGCGGACGGACCTAAAACAAAGTGTGCGTGTGCGTGTGTGTGTTTCTCTTTATTTTCTTTTGTAACAACAATATTAGTTAAATTATATTTATACTGTACAAATCAGAAACTGCAGAACTGAGCAGCATTTTGTGTGAGTGCAAATTGATTTCGTTGTGCTTAGGTGTGAAAATGACGAACTTAAATATCAGCTAAGTAAAAGCAACAGCACTCAATTTGCATCCAACTCGTATTCATTTGGGAGGTAGCATTAAATATTTCAACAGAAAGAAAAATCAAAATCAACAATTATAAGTAATTACAACTACTACAAGTACAACTATGTATAACTGCTTCAGCAGCAGCGGTAGCACCAGCAGCAGTAGCAGAGCAGCGACAGAGCAGCCACCACGGTCGTTTAGCAGCCAGAACCAAGAAGACGAAGAGCAAGACGAAAAGTAAAACAACAATAAAGCTGGCCATATTCATACAACAAAAAATTCAAAAAAAAAAAAAAAAAAAAACAGCATGTGAGCTAATCAGAATCAGTGAAGGCAGGCAAAGGTTTTTTTCTTGTACATTTTCGCATCAACCATTGCTGAAGAATTAATGAATTATAATAAATACATGGAAATGGAAACTGCAATCGAAATTACATTCTATATATTTATAAAAATACGCAAAGCTAAAGCGACGCAGTGGTCGCAGTCGCAGTCGCAGTCGACGTCGTCTCGTGGTGTCAACGTCAACTCCAACCGCGCCGCTGGCTCGTGTGTGCGTGTATGTGTATGGGTGCGAGCGTATTGTGTCTGTGTGTGAGTGGCCCCTTGCCTGCGAAGGTGGGCTGGGCTGCTCATAAAAAGGCGCCTCCTTTCGGCAGACAAGTGGGTTGCCCACATTATTGTTTTTGTTGCTGCGGTGCACTGTGCACTGTGCACAGCGCCTGCTGCTTGCCTGGTGCTTCGGTTATTTATTTTTTTTTGTCGTGTCTGCCTCTGCCGCTGCTCTGGCCTTTCATTTCGTTTTCATTATGAAAATGCTGAAAACTAGCGCTGAGTTAAAAAAAAAAAAAAAAATCGCTGCGAGTCCAAATCTTATCGTCAGTAGCTTAGCCCTCCCATAGTGCCCCTTCCCTTCCCATCCACAAACGCCTGTTCCGTTCCGGCATCGATGCCGTGTGTCGTGGTGAATACCAAAGTATTGATTCCATATTTTGTATGCACACACTTTTGCAATAGCAGCGCAGCAGAATTCAAAGCGCAGCTTGAATAAACTGTAAATCAAAACAAAAAAGTATCAAATCAAAAAGCAAAGAAACAAAATCTAAAAACAAAATATTACTAAAAAAAAAAAAAAAAAAGAAAAAGATGACGGACATTGCGGAGCTGTTGAACAGCATGTCGAGCAAATTTAACAGCGACTGCGCCACCAGCACAGCCGAGGGCGGCACGCTGCTGAACCTGGACCTGGCCGAGGATAAGACGCTGAAGTGGCGCAATTTGGCCAATAATCAGTTTGCTTGTAAAGACAAGGATAAAAAGCAATGCCACAAAAGCGACGAAATGCATGAGAAGCAACAGGAGCCGCAGCCGAAGCTCGATGCGGCTGTCAAATGCGAAGCGGAAGCTGCAGAGGGCGCCCAGCAGCTACCTCAAGGCCAGAGCCAAAGCCAAAGTCAGGCTAGCGACGCTGACGTCGACGCCGACGCTAACGTCGCCAGTGCAGAAATCCCCGAACAAACAGCAGCAGCAGCAACACTGACGGGCGAGACGCCAGTAAAAGAAGCCGCAGCAGCAGCAGTGGCGACGACGTCGCCGCCGCCGCCTAACGAAACGACGACAGCGGCAACAGCCGACAATAAAAACGGTAATGACGATGACGTTGACGTTGCCGAGTGCGCAGCCGAAGTAGCAGAGGCAGCAGCAGTAGGCGATGACAATGCTGCTGCCGCAACAGAAGAAGAAGCAACAGCAGCAGTCAAATTGGAGCAGGAAGCGTGCAAAAGCGCAGCAGCTGTGGCAGAACTGGCAACGCCGTCTGCGCACATTTCCACAGCAACTGCAGCAAAAACAACAACAACAACAACAACAACAGACGAAGGCATAAAGACTGAAACTGAGATGGAATCCGCAAATGCAACAGCCAAAGAGGAGCTTCGAGAGGAACAGCAACAGCAGCCGCTGCAGGAGCAAACGCTGACTGCGCAGTGCGCACCAAGCGCAGACGCAGCAGAAGCAGAAGCAACAGACGAGGTCACATCGGTTACAGTCGCAGCATCATCGGCAACGGCATCCCCAGTGCCAGCAGCAGCGCCAGCGCCAGCCGCTCCACTTGTTGTCAACTCTGCTGCCAATAGTAGCAGCAGCAGCAGCAGCGACAATTTTGACGTCGCCGCTGACGCAACAGATTCGACTTCGATGAATGCGGTTGCTGCTAGCGACGACGTCGCAGCTCCAATAGCAACAACAACATCGCAAGCCAGTGCTGATAAAAACGTAAGTGTATTCGTTTGTGTACGCGTGTGCTTTTGTATGCACAAGTATGCGTGCGTGTGTGAGTGTGTATGTATGGGTTAGTGTAAGTCGAATTCTTTTAATTTTTGTAGTTCGTTTAACTTACTTTCCGTTTTACTTTGCGCCAATGCGCCCCAATTAAACAGAATTGGGCAGCACTGGCAACTCGTTTATCGAAAATGGATTGCGAGAGCGAGCAAGAGAGAGGCTAAGCAAAAAAAAAAAAAAACGGGATATCCCGTTCTGTATGTATGTAGTCTAGGCAACAGTTGTTGACGCAAGAAAGAACAGTTAAAATTCCTTTTTCGACCAATCGTTCCGATTGGATGTCTATATAATTTAGTTAGTGCGATTATGTTGTGAGTATAATAGAACTTCATACAACAACTTTTTTTAACCGTTAGGAAGGCAAGTCTTAATAAAGAGCTAAAAGGCAGAAAACAGATATGATTTTCTATATATATGTACATACATATGTATGTATATACATATACAACTTTTTGTCCTGATTGACTGACTAATTGGGGCATAGTCCAAGGCGAAGGAATCTTAAATTTGTACTCTAGTTTCCACCTGCTTCTCATGTGAGGAAAATAGGCGGAAAACGATAATATGAAAGCTTCTTGTTTACAATTCTGTTCCAAGATCTTTGTGAAAAATCATTTGCGACGTGGCTTACACTTTTCGCATATTCACCCTATGACATACATATGTGGGTCAAAGGTCATATGTGGTCAAGTTGAATTTTCACCTTTGCGCAAATTTTCAGAGCTCTACATTATGAATACGTGTATCCCAGATTTTTCAATGCCTGCCCACGGGAATACCTCAATTGCACTTTTTTGTTTCATCTGCTCGACCTCAAATATCTACATACATATGTACATACATATGTAAATTATATTTAATAACTCGCGGGCGGGAAATGTGCGCAAAGGTAAATTGTCCAAAGCCTGGGGAAAACAACTTGGCCCGGGCAAAGCTGTGTAAAACCCGCTGCTAGATATTCTGATTAATATATACCTATGCGTGTATTGCTCGATTTGCATACTTACCTCTGGGAATTGGTGCAAATAGCTTTTTGGCACATATGAAAAATAAATCAATATGAAATGAATTTGATTTTAATAGGCCATTTAATCAATTTCAAATTGATTTAATATGATAGTTTTTTCTAATTACGTATTTATGGAAATGGGGATAATTTATTTGAAGGCAAATGCCATTTACAGTAGTCCTTCCAGAGAAGAACCGAGTTTTCCTTTATATTCATATCAGTATTATTATACGTAATTGTTCCAGAAGTTCTCATTATCGAACTGTTCTCGCATCGGTCTTTTATATGTATATGCATATGTAGTTGATAAAGAGCTACAAATCGTATATAGACAGAATTGTAAAGTGTTTGTATATGTCAATGAAATATGGGAAATTCTATGTAATAAAAATAAAATATCAAAGAGTTAACTTTTGTATATCCAAACAAAACGAGAGGGTCTTGTCGGGAGCTCACGACTAGGCGATACCCTAAACCCTCTAAATTAATATACTTGATATATATGTCAAATTTGGTCATAAAACAGGATTTCGATATCGATCTTTATCGATTGCTTGGAAACGGGGCAAGCTATCGATTATCGGAAATAAACTCGAACTGCCGCAGTCTCTAGCTCTTATTGATTCTGAGATACGGACGAACAGACAGACGGAAATTGCTAGATCAGCTCGGCTATTGATGCTGATCGAGTATATATATACTTTATGGGGTCGCAGATGATTCCTTCTTACCCTTTTAACCCATTTTCAATGTGTTCAGGGTATCCAAATATCCTGGCAGATCATTTTTTGATGAAACAAAAATTATTTATAAATCTTATAGTATTATCATATCTCCTATCATTAATGCTTATAACAAAGATGAAAGAAGTTTCTGTTTTTGCTTACTAAACGATCATGTGGAACTGTTGAATTCCACACGCAATTGTGGAAAATTCGTGGAAGGCACTGTAATCATTGCTTAGTATGGCCACAATGTGCAGTTATAGTGCAAATGTAGATTCATTTGGGTGAACGACCGCCGAAAAACGAAAAACATGCATACACTGTATGTATGTTATCTATGCGAGTGTATTTAATATCTGGCGTTAAAACTACGCTCTTGCCGGGCTTCCAAGAGAAATGTGTCTTCTTTATTTTTATTGAACCAGTTTCGTAGCGAGCTTTTTAAACTGGTATTTTGTCACTTATCAAACAGTTCACATGCCAGAGTCGTCGGGCATATATACTGCACATATTCTTCGATCCTGATTGAAAACGCTTTTGCGATCGCAACCCGAAACATGGCCTATGACAATAAGTTTGATTTCAAATATTTAAGATACAAAACGGATAATATTTCAATTTATGGGCCGAAAGAACTTTCATTTTGGAAAATCTGTGCAATAATAGTCGAATGTTGTTAACATTAAATTGTCTTTAAAGTATGTGTAATATGTTATTATATTTGAATTTAGATTCACATTTTCATTTTTGTAAAAAATGTTCGTATTTCCCAAAAATAGATAACCCAAAAATATGGAAACTTAAATTTATAAATTTGTATTTATTTTTTTATACCCTGAACACCCATTGAAAATGGGTAAAGAGGGTATAATGTATTTGTGCAAATGTATGTAACAGGCAGAAGGAAGCATCTCCGACCCCATAAACTATATATATTCTTGATCAGCATCAATAGCCGAATCGATCTAGCCATGTCCGTCTGTCAGTCCGTCCGTCCGTCTGTCCGTCTGTCTGTATGTATGAACGCAAGGATCTCAGAACCTATAAGAGCTAGAGACTTGAAATTTTAGCTGAGGGTCCCCCTAGTCCCCGCGCAGATCGAGTTTCTTTTCTATATTCGATAACTTGCCCCGTATCCAAGTAATCGATAATAATCGAAATATCGAAATCCTGTTTTTTGGGCAATTTCGGTAAATAATATTAGCTAGAGTCACCAAACTTGACATGTAGCTTCTAGAATAGTATACATAACATATATCAAGTATTTTTCATTTTATACCTATCGCCTGTCGGAAGAAGAGGGTTCAGGGTATCTCCTAGTCGGGAGCTCCCGACTAAAACCTCTTACTTGTTTATTATTATATTTTTGTAATTTAACAAGAATATTTCGACAACAATTTGATTGTTTTTAAACAAAAATTTTTTGTTTTTTGTTTTTTGTTATTCCTAACAGGAAAATGTCGAAGCTTTAAAAGTAAAACATAAACGGGATACGTGGAAAAAACTCTTGTCCTTACACTTTTGTCATTTCCGAGTATTTACTGTATAACTTAAATATTGTATATATAAAGTATATAGTATATATATATAAAGTTTTGTATATTAAAAATATAGTATATATGTATATGTAATATATACCATCTTACTTTATGTACTGTGAGAATTCCCCTAACGGACACTTCTGTTAGACGGACACCCCCTTTAACCGGACAGTTGCTGTCAAATCCCATTATCAATAAAACGTCAAAACCCAATTCATCTATATTAGACTGTTTTACTGTAAATCATAAGCGGACACTCCTCTTGAGCGGACACGAATTAACCCGACGTTTTCACAGAATATAACATACATATTTTTTTTTTCATTTTCTTTCATATTACTTTTAATTTTGTTGTCAATCGAAATGGCAATAGTTCAATTAAATTTTCGTATCACATTAGTGTGCAGCTTAACGAGTGTCTACTGTAAGTTTGGCCAGCAAATGAATGCACTTTTGCTTTGTGCTGGGAGCAAGCATCTTTTATGCATGCCTGCAAGGAGGGAGGGGTGCCCCCTTTCAACTGGCCCCTCCCTTCCAGTGTGCCACACAAGCTATACTCCCGGCTAGGCAAGTGTTTTGTATGACCCGTTGCCAGGGCAACAGGACTTGTCGAGTGGAACGCAAGACTTTACCTAGATTCGCACTCAAAACGTTTGGACAACAGAAGCTCTCTCCCATAGAAGAAAAAGAAGGAATTTGATATGAATATCGAACGAATGCGTGAATGAAACGAAAGGAAAGTTGCAAACGGCTTCTCGTTGCTTTGAATGATTCGATTCGATTCGAGTTGAGTGTGTGTGTGTGTGTGTGTGCCTGGCTTGGCTTGGCTTGGCTAGGCTAATTATCACCTGTTGTCTGGTTATACCAATGCTTATATGCGTCTCTTATGCTTTGCACAGGAACCAAATGCTGCTGCGAGCAGCACGATGCGTCGCCTGCGTCGCACACCGCGGCCCACAGACACGCCTACGCCCACGCCCTCGTCTGCAGATGAGCCAACGTCGCCGATGGCGACGCCAGAAGAGGATCCGCAGGCAACAGGCAGCCAGGAACAAGTGACGCCCGTCGAGAACAACGAACTGGCCAGCGATGTTAAGAAGGAGCCGGAAAAAGCGCCAGGCTGCAGCGACATGGAGGCAAATACAGCCAATGCGCCGCCAGCACCAAAACGTGGACGCGGACGTGCCAAAAAGATAAAGCCCGAAACGGATGCAGCCCCGGAGCCGGCTGGAACGGCTGTGGAGCTGGCCAACGCTGTGTTGCCTGTGTCCCTGCCGGCGCCTGGTCAGGAGGAGGCGGCGTCGCCACAGCCGGCGGCTGCAGTGGAGCGCAAGGTGGGCCGCAAGCGCAAGCCGCCTGAGGAGGAGCTGGCAACGGACTTCACAACGGCGCTGGTCATCAAAACCGAACAGGACGATGAAGTTGCCGCCGCGCCCAGCAGCGATGGCAAAAGAATGCGTCGTAGCGTGCGTCTCGGCAATCGATTGGATCAGGCGAACGCCTGGACGGATGAGGTCAAAACTGAGCCGCTGACGCCGGCAGCCAGTGAGACGCCGCCGCCGTCAGCAGCAGCAGCAGCAGCTGCATCTGTTGAGCAACTGTCGTCGGCTGCGGTCCAGCTGGACGAGAAGACACCGCCCAAGAAGCGCGGACGCAAGGCAAAGATACCAGTGCCGCCGCCGCCGCTGCCGAGTCGAGCGGATTCCGCGGCACAAACTGTGCTCCTTGCATCTAGCAGCGGGAGTGGAGCCATGGCCATTGGCCTGCCCGCAGCCGTGGCGCTCTCCAATGGCAACAAGCGCACCGCTACAACAACAAATCTGGCTATGGCAACGGGTTCGGTTGCGGCTGCGGCGGCATCGGGCAGCGCGCCGGAGCAGCAGCAGCAGCAGCTGCCGAAGCGCTCGAAGCGGCGCATCAAGCCCACAACGAAAATACTGGAGAACGATGAGCTGCGCTGCGAGTTCGAGACGAAGCACATCGAGCGCATGACCCACTGGGAGTCAACGGCCGAGGGTGAGGGCGTGCACTTTGAGACGCCGCTGCAGTCGTGCAGTGCTGGAGGCGGCGGCTCCAACTCATCCACATCGCGGCAGAAGAGCGACAAATCGGATGGCGGCAGCGGGCTGGAACAGCATCCGGCGGGCACGAGCGCGATCAAAAAGCGCCTGTTCTCCAAAGCGCAACGTGACATTGACAATTCGGATGCAGCGCTCTTGGCGAAGAGTCAACTGCGTCCCTGTCCCAATTTTGAGCAGTTTCTGAGCGACGTCAAAGCGGCCAAGCTGAATGCGAATCGTTCGCCCGAGGAGCGCAAACTGAACAAGAAGCAGCTGCGCAAGCTGGCCAAACAAAAGGAGAAGCATCTCAAGCACCTGGGTCTGCGGCGCAACAACAGCGAGGAGGCCAGCGACAACGACAGCTCCAACACGGACAACGAGGAGTTTGTGCCCACCACGCGTGTCCAGGTGGGCAAGCCGAGCGTAACGCTACGCTTGCGCAATGCCAGCAAGGAGCCCAACAGTCAGTCCGCTGCACAGAAGCAGCTGCCGCCGCCGCCGCCGCCGCCGCCTGCTGTGCCGCCCAAGCTGACGCGACGCATGGGCGTGCGTGGCAACAATGCGACAACAGCAGCAGCAGTCGCAGCTTCGGGAGCACCGGGAGCAGCGGGAGCTGCCACAACGCTGGAGCATGGCCAGCTGCATAGGCTGAACAGTGCCATTCTGGCGGCCGCCGATGCCAGCGATGCCATTGCCAGCACCTCTGCTGCGGCTGCGGCTGCTGCTGCTGCCAACGCCTCCGGCTCCGGCTCCGGCTCATCCTCGGCTGGCATCAAGTTTATTTGCCTGTGCCAGCGCGGCTCGCAATACTATGCCCGCAATGCGCCGGACACCTCCTACTGCTGTGGCATCGACAACATCGATGAGCAGAAGATTGGCTGCTGCAACGAGCTGGCCGCCGAGGTGCACAATCTGTTGCGTCCCAGCCAGCGTGTCGGCTACATGATACTCTGCGACGAGCACAAGAAGCGCCTGCAATCGCACAATTGCTGTGCCGGCTGTGGCATATTCTGCACACAGGTGAGCTATCAATCTGTCGACCTATCAGTTCGTCAATCAATCTGTGTTGAATTCTCGTTGCAGGGCAAATTTGTGCTGTGCAAACAGCAGCATTTCTTTCATCCGGACTGCGCGCAACGCTTCATACTCAACAGTCCCTACGATGCACAACAGCAGCCCCCAAATGCCGGCCCTGGCGGCAACTATGCCAGCCCCCTGCTGGTGCTCAAGTGTCCCCACTGCGGCCTGGACACCCCGGAGCGCACCTCAACGGTCACCATGAAATGCCAAACCTTGCCCGTCTTTCTGCCCGCACAGAAGACCAAAATGTAAGTGACCAGGTTATGGCGCGTGCCCCTGCCAGCTGGTTAAATGTTAAATCTTTGCAAATGTTTGCAACAGGCAAAGGGAACTCGATCCAGCCATGTCCGTCTAGAGCTTGACTTTAGAAACTCTTTTTAAAAAGCAACAACATATTGATTTATTGATCCCCATTTACTTAACATTGATTGTTACCCATTTTAAGACAATTAATCAAGTGACCAAATTGTATTTCTGCATCTTCTCAAACGTCGTGTGCACCTTTCTATGTCATAATCAAGTCCTCAACATTTCATAAAGATCGGACACCGCAGTTAAGGGAGCATGCGGATCAAAGGAAAGAAGCGCAGCAGCTGAATAAAATGCCAATCCTAAGGCTCTCGAATGTTTCTCATGAGAATTAGGCGTTAGTCTTAGGGTTTTCCGATTAGAGCACTCGTGTCTGGCTTTTGGGCTATTGCTATGCGTCATTTTGAACATTTCGTTTTCTTGTTTACCCGCAGCAAACCCGCCAAGTTGACCACCTCGTCCCATTTGACGCAGTTCGCCAATGCAGCTAACAGCACAGAGGGCGGTTCAAAGGCAGCCAGCAGCGGCGGTGGTGGCAGTTCGTCTGCCAAGCCGACAGCTGGTGCACGCGGCAAGGCCGCCGGCAGCTACAGCGGCAAGTCGAATGGAACACGCGGCAAGGGTGCGGCTGCGGCAAATGCTACCGCTGGTCAGGCGCTGAACATCATCAACTTTGAGCAGCTGATACCCGAGTCCGTGATGAATGTGGTGCTGCGGGACCGGATCGTCTCGTCCAGCGGTCGGGTGACAACGGAATTCAACTCGCGCGACATGTACTACGCCGTGCAGAACGATGATCTGGAGCGTGTTGCCGAGATTCTGGGTAAACTATTTTTTTGAAATTTTATCAGCTGTCCGATATCGTTATCAATGTTTAATTTGCAACAGCTGCCGACTACAATGTACTGACGCGTATGCGTGAATTCCTTAATGGCACCTGCCTGCATCTGGTGGCACATTCGGGCACCCTGCAAATGGCCTATCTGCTGCTCTGCAAGGGCGCCAGCTCCCAGGACTTTGTCAACATTGTCGACAGCGAATTGCGCACGGCTCTCATGTGCGCCGTCATGAATGAGAAATGCGATATGCTTAATCTGTTCCTACAATGCGGCGCCGATGTGGCCATCAAGGTGCCCCCAGAATATACCACACATTAGGCTCTACATATATGGTAACTGAATGTCCGTTTCGTCTCTAATTGCAGGGTCCCGATGGCATGACCAGTCTTCATATTGCCGCCAAACTGGGCAATCTGGAGGCTGCCCAACTAATTGTGGACAGTTATCGCGGCTCGCGCAACATTGCCAACTTTTTGAGCTTTATCAATGCCCAGGATGAGGGTGGTTGGACGGCCATGGTCTGGGCAGCCGAGCTGGGACACACGGATATCGTGAGGTGAGCCAATTTACGCTCTAAATTTAAAAGTCACCAAATAATTAGGCAAATCATTTATCATGCTTTACATTATGTTATGCTTAACATTATGTTAAAATCAATTAACAGCGTTGAATCGGCTAAACAAATGTTAATATGTTTTTAACAGTACCCCGTTTTAATATATGTTATTAAGAATTATAAAGTGTAACAACAGCTGTAAATTAACAGTAGAATAACGGAACTGTTACAGAGTTGATAAATACATGATAAAGCTTCAAATAGTGTAATATATTTTGTTGAAACTTAAACATGCTTCACTAACAGCAACTGTTAAAAGTCTGTTAACATTAGCATTTCGTGCATTTACTCTATGGTATACCCTATGTTTATTGTTGCATTCTTTGGACAGCCTGCTGATCAATCATGGCGCAGATCCGAATATATGCGACAATGACAACAACACGGTGCTGCATTGGTCCACGCTGCACAACGACGGACTGGAGACGATAACGGTGCTATTGCAGGCGGGCGCCGATTGCAATGTGCAGAACGTGGAGGGCGATACGCCGCTGTAAGTGATTAATTAATATTGCAATTGAATTTCGACAAAAATTTTGCACAATTTTCGCACCTGTAGACACATTGCTTGCCGGCATTCGGTGACGCGCATGTGCATCGCCTTGATAGCGAACGGCGCCGATCTGATGATCAAGAACAAGGCGGAACAGTTGCCCTTTGATTGCATACCCAACGAGGATTCGGAATGCGGACGCACCGTTGGCTTTAACATGCAGATGCGCAGCTTTCGGCCGCAGGGACTGCGCACTCGGGTGGTCTGTGCGGATGCCTCGAATGGACGCGAGGCGCGTCCCATACAGGCGGTACGCAACGAGCTGACCATGTCGGAGCATGAGGACGAGGCCGATGCGCTTATGTGGCCGGATTTCAAGTACATTAACAAGTGCATAATACTGCAGAACTCGGTGCAGATCGATCGGCGCGTCTCACAGATGCGCATCTGCTCCTGCTTGGACAGCTGCAGCAGCGATCAGTGTCAGTGCAATGGCGCCTCATCCCAAAACTGGTATACGGCCGAGAGCCGTTTGAATTGTGACTTCAACTACGAGGATCCGGCAGTGATATTCGAATGCAACGATGTCTGTGGCTGCAATCAGGTGAGCCCGTACCAAAGCAACGTGCGGCAGCATTTGCTGAAACAAAATCTCTTCTCCCTTGGCAGTTATCCTGCAAGAATCGCGTGGTGCAGAACGGCACGCGAACGCCGCTTCAGATTGTTGAGTGTGAGGATCCGGCCAAGGGCTGGGGCGTGCGTGCGCTAGCCAATGTGCCGAAGGGCACATTTGTCGCCAGCTATACGGGCGAGATTCTGACTGCACCCGAAGCGGATCGCCGCACCGATGACAGCTACTATTTTGATCTGGATAATGGACATTGCATTGATGCCAACTATTATGGCAATATCAGTCGCTTCTTCAATCACTCGTGCGACCCGAATATATTGCCCGTGCGCGTTTTTTACGAGCATCAGGATTATCGTTTCCCCAAAATTGCATTCTTTGCCTGCCGCGACATCGATGCCGGGGAGGAGATCTGGTTTGTGTGCTGCTCAATTCGAACTGGCCCATCTTTGATTAACATTTTCGTTTGCCTCTCCAGCTACGATTATGGCGAAAAATTCTGGCGTGCCGATCAACGGGTCAGCGGAGGCGGCTGCAAGTGCCTGACGGCCTCCTGCAAATATTCGCTGCACTCGTCCAGTTCGAGTGCATCGCCAACAGCGGCAACAGTTGGCGAAGAGGCGTCTGGCGGGCAGACAACGGCACAGGAGCATTTCATAGATCCCTTGGTGTAGTATACACGATGTAACATAATGATTCCAAAACCAAATCCAGTCGAGCATTGAGCACATGCAACGTAACACAGAGACAAGGACGGAGACGCAGACGCAGACGGAGACGGAGACGACATTGACTCTCTTGGCCAAGCCATGTTGCCAAGCATCACAGACAAAAGAGCGCCATATTTATATATTCTATATACATATATAGAAAATCAAATCAAAATCGGGGCCAACACCAACAACAAACACGACGGCAACAACAACTTCAGATGTCTTGTTTTTGTTGTTGGCCTTTGACTGCCAAATGTTTCCAAGGTTTTTATTAGTTATTGTTTATACCAATATTCATATGTAGATATTATTTTTTATTTTCTTCTTCTTCTTTTTTTTTTATGTTTTCATTGTGCATTTGTTTTTATACGATAGTTTTGTGTTGTAAAATGCTCTTTATTATTTTTTTTCGTTTTTTCTTTTTTTTTTTCAAAAACTACACGCTAAGCTGCATGTCACATTGTGCAATACACACATATATTTCTATACGTATGTATATGTATGTAGCTAAATATATATAAATATATGTGTACGTAACTCGATTACGTTCTTTTTTTGTGTAATCGTTCGCATGTGTGTGTGTTAATGTTAAGCAAAGGCCATGATATATATGGATATATAGATGTACATATATTCAAAATAGATGTAAAGTTCTGTGTGCGATCAAGATAAAAGCGGAGAATTTGTAACTAGTCATGGCAGACAATTTATACATAAATATATATGTCTATATACCATATGTATACATATATATACATTTATATTATATATTTATATTATATATTGCATATGCATATAGTTTCGCATTATTAATTGAGAATTACGGCAGAGCGTTTGTAATTGCAATTAAACAATAACGGCAACAACAGCACACACACACACACACACACACACACACACACACACACACACACACAATCGTGAATTAAACAATAAATGTAACTTGCTTTTAAACTAAGCTACGTCTAATACGTATTATATACAATATTTTTTTTTTGTATTGCAAGTCTAGTAAAAATTGTTGACATTTGAACGACACAATTCACATGTAAAACAAAAAAATTAATAATCATATGCAATCGAAATGAAAATGTATGTTTGTGCTGGAAAAAGTACTGATAGTAGTTAAAAAACAAATGTTTTAAAAAACATTTATAGATACACAAACACACACATAACCTTTTGTGACCCGTCGCTTATTGTAAAACTTGCCATGTTTTGTTTCTAGTTTTAACAGCAAAGCAGCTGTAACAGTAGCGGTCACTGTTACTGTTACTGTTACTGTTAATGTTAACGTAAATGTAACTGTAATTGGCTGAATTCAGCTTTGCACTCGTTAGCCACAAGTGCCTGAAAAGCTTTCAAAAAAAAAAAAAAAAAAAAAAAACCCCCCCCTCCAAGGGGCCGAGCTATGCTGGGTCCACTATGGCTAGACATGGTACCACAGGAATAAGACACACAATACATATATAAAACATTGACTGCAATGCATTTTTGAGATGTGACGACCACTTCATTTCAGTTCCAATCATATCCTTGCGTCTAACGAATCACATCTACAGATAGTTATTAACCGAATAAGCGTTTTACATATGTATATTTAAATGCATAACGAAAACATATAGTATATATATATATACATATGAATACATGTATGTACTTATGTGTAGGTAGGTCTATGCGAGGCCTCGTAACTTAATGGGTATTGTGTAAATGTTTGTATGTATGTACACTAGCAATAGGAATAAATATATATAAGTTATTAATGCTGAAATGTAACACACACACACACAGACACACACAGTCACACACAGTCAGCTGTTATTGAAGCATAGTTATACGATCTACAAGTTTTATGCATACTTATATACTAAGTATATACATACATATATTTTGTATTTTTGGTGTAACATGAATGTGAAGAGAGAGAACATGAGTAACACGAAATTCATCAGCATCGCAATTAAGATTTGCAGTGTTCCTAGAGTTCACTAAAAAAAATTTAATATATATATATATTGTAGTAAATGTTTAAAGTTCGATTTAGACAAGTAACGGGGCATTTATTGCGCTCCCACTTGGACTTCGGCTTTTTACAGCATTTTCTATACGTAATTTGTGTACCATATAAGCGACATTTACATATATATGCATATATATAGTATAACGGTTTCGAAGCACGACATTTAGAAATTAAGTAGTCACCACTCATTATTATTATTGTTATCGGTCTGCGATTATTTGTTTTGTTTTGCTTATTTTTATTATTTTTTGTTTTATGAACAATCATATACATATATATAAATATATATTCATATATGTTTTAGTAGTTCACCATACAGATTAGTTGAAATTGAAAATCAATAATGTTTAATATAAGTCACTGAGATATTAAATCAAATAAATTGTAATACTACCGAAATGGGAGTGTTTCTCATCTGACTTTTAACGTGCACCTTAAGCAGACAATCAAGTTCTGGCGCCAAAAGTTTCCAATGCAACGCTGTGTTCAATGTTGCTTGTGATTTTATATTTTCAATCAGCTGTTGTATCTTAACTTAAAATCTGGCCACACTGTTTCGGCAATTGTATGTGTTGTAATTTTGAGGTTGGTTCTGATGGAATTTGTTTTACACTACAATCAATTACATTATAATATAATTAATCTTTTTGACACACAGGCATACTAATTAAGTCTGAAGTCAGTGCTCATTGGCTGAAAGCTGGTGGACAAAAAAAAAGGAGTGATTGGCGGAACAGCAAAACAGTCAAAGCCAAGAACCAACATCGACAGCAAAACTAAAACAAATCACTGCCAGAATGAGTTTTCCCGACAAAGCAGAGCGCGCCAAGTGCTGGTCCACACGTGATGAATACTGGAAGTGTCTGGATGAAAATGCGCCCAAGCATAGCTCAACAAGCGGTGAAAAGGTTCCGAATGCCTGCCAGAAAATGCGCAAAATCTTTGAGCAATCCTGTCCCGGCCAGTGGGTGAAACACTTCGACCGTAAGCGCACCTACGAACAATTCAAGGAGAAAATGGCAACCGGCTACGATCCACTAGTGGAACGCACCAAGGCCGAAGGCCCGGCCAAATAAGAGACGGCCGGTAAAAGTTGATTGTTGCGCTATATAGTTTTTTTTGTATTGTTGTAGTGTAGTGTAAATAAAACATAAACATTAGCATTATGACTACGCTCACTAATAAGAGTTCCGGCCGATAATTTAAATATTTAATATGAATATTTCGTTAAAAAATCAAGTGCAAGTTGCTGTTTTCAAATGTCAAAAATAAGTGTGTACACACCCAAGCAATTTGGTGTGTAATGTGAAAAATGTGCTAAAAATGCTCAAAAGCCCTACCCTCAAAACGGTCAAAGCAATCGAAAACATTTTTTTGAGTGCTAAACGTTTTATTAAACAATTTAATTGAAAGTAACAAACGCTGCGTGCCACACAGATTGTATAAATGTTGCCATGGAGTCGATTACGTTCGGAGTATTGACAAGTAAGCGATTCAATTTCCGGCTGCCTATATTAACAGTTCGTTTGCGGTTTTAGTTAGTGACACCTGTTACCAGGAGCCGGCAAAGGATCGCAGCGGACCGCGTTTGATGGGGCTGATACGCCAATCGTTTGACAATGCCCAGGTGGTTGCCAGTGTGCTGCCCGACGAGCGCGATCTGATCCAGCGTGAGTTGCGCAAATGGATCGATCGGAATGATGTGCGTATCATAATAACCACCGGTGGCACGGGCTTTGCTCCGCGAGATGTCACGCCGGAGGCAACAAAGCCCCTGCTGGACAAGGACTGCAATCAACTAACGCTGGCCATTGCATTGGCATCGCTGCAGAAGACCAAATTTGCTGCCTTATCGCGTGGCGTTTGCGGCATTGCCGGCAATACGCTTGTGCTCAATTTTCCGGGTAGCGAGAAGGCCGTTGGGGAGTGCTTCGAGGCGGTACGCGAACTGTTGCCGCACGCTCTCCATCTGATCGGCAACAATGTGGCACTTGTCCAACGCACGCATGCCGAAGTGCAGGGCTCGGCTGCGGCGCTGCCAAAGGTACTGAGACGTGACCACGTATGTCCGCACAAGACGGGCGCTGGCGACGATGTCGATCGCAATTCGCCGTTTCCTATGCTGCCTGTGGACCAGGCGCTCGATAACATTCTTAGCGTGGTACAGCGCAATAACGCCACAAATCAGCAGATGGATGCGCTGCTCTCACCGATCAACATACCGCCCTTTCGGGCGTCCATTAAGGACGGCTATGCAATGAAGTCTACCGGCTTTCCGGGCACCAAGCGTGTCGTGGATTTTATTGCTGCCGGCGACAAGGTTCTAGATGTTTTTTTTTTGTTTTATATTATCCACATATTTGCTTACTCATTGACATTTCGCTGCTGCAGGTTAGCCTACATCCGTTGCAGGAGGACGAGTGCATCAAGATCAATACGGGCGCGCCACTGCCCGAGGATGCGGACTGTGTGGTCCAGGTGGAGGATACCAGGCTGTTGCAGCGCGACAAATATGGCGAGGAAAGCCTAGTCGACATCCTGGTCGAGCCCAAGGCGGGACAGGATGTGCGGTAAGCTAGAAATAGTCCAAGTTAGCCCCTCTAGTTCGTTATATGAATGTCTCCTATTTTGATGCAGTTCAATTGGGCACGATCTGCGCAAGGGCGACAAAGTGTTTCCCTCTCCCGATTACTCGCCCGTTGTCTTCAAATCCTTGCTGGCCTCCGTTGGCTGCCAGCTGCAACGGCGCAAGCCGAAGGTGGCCATTATTTCAACTGGCAGCGAGCTGCTCGCACCCCAGCAGCCAGCCGACGCTGGCAAAATCTATGACTCGAATACAACCATGCTGGAGGAGCTGTTGCTCTACTTCGGTTTCGATTGCATGCAGCAGCATGTGCTCGGCGACGAGTGAGTGCTATATACAGATTATGTGCCCTGCCCGAACCTAGTACACTAATATAATTTTTGTTGTTCCTGTCGCAGCTTGATGTCCATAACACTGACGCTGTCCAATATCTACGATGCTGTGGACTTTGTCATCTGCAGCGGCGGCGTCTCAATGGGCGACAAGGACTTCATTAAGCCGGCGCTGGAACATCTCAAATTTAAAGTGCATTTCGGACGCGTCAACATGAAGCCCGGGTTGGGTCTAACATATGTCCACACTCTGAACTAACTGACCAACTGCTATTTTGTATTTGCAGCAAACCGATGACCTTCGCCAGCAGAGGAACCAAGTACTTCTTCGGCCTGCCCGGCAATCCTGTTTCCGCCTTTGTCACATTCCATCTGTTCGCACTGCCCGCCATCCGCTGGGCCGATGGCTGGGAGCGCGCCAAGTGCCCCCTGCCCATTATCAATGTGGCGGTAAGTCCCAAGCTCATTGTGAAATACCTCCGCACAGGGCGTAGATTAGCGATTGCCCTTCAACTATGAGACGCTTTGGGATCGATCAATTGTGAGCTGCCCATAGCTGAATATATGTAGATCATCATAATGACGCGCTAGCGTTATCTCTGTGGAGCGATAAGAGATTAGGCACTCAACAAGACACTCTTCAAATGGTTCAACATTTTTTTGTTATCGCTCGAATGCTTTTAGAACATAAACAAATATTTGCGTTAAAGTGAACGGCAAGTAAGATTAGGTTGGGCCAGTTAGGCAGCTGTAGATAAATGTTGGCACATTTCGGTGCCAATCAATTTCAATCTATTGAAATCAGATCCGAACTTTAACAAATATATATAGATAATAAATGAGTAGCAAGTTTTAAATTCAAGCAAATAAATATTGTTTATTTGGTTTTTGATCTTGCGCCAACGAATTTTATATGTTAATCATATCTTTATCGAGCGAGCTAGCTGGCTTCTCATAAAGAACTAGTCCAACTGCTCTGCAGGCTGAGCAGGACACTCTGCAGCCATCCTTGAGGTTAGACCTCATACCTTCATGGCAAAATCTTTATCGTAGTTCTTTGCAGATCTAAACATGAAATCGATCAAGTTCGAAGCTTATGAAATCGTAATCTGAAAATTGATGTCATTCCCAGCAGATTTTAAGTTTAACATGAAACATAACATGATCCAGCAAATCCTTTAAAGATAGATCTTTTACCATCGACGCATTTGCTAAGGATGGGCCACCTCTACGCTAACCCGATCCTTAGGCAACTCCATTGACTGACTCATTCAGCCATCATCTTTCGCATTCTAATTGTTTATAAATTCGAAATTTTAGCTGCTCAATGAAGCCATCGATTTGGATGCACGTCCCGAATATGTGCGCGCCTCGGTGAGCAGCATCAATGGCCAGCTGCATGCCAGCGTCAACGGGAATCAGGTAAGAGAGAGAGCAAAAGCAAAGAAGCCAAGGAATTTCCAA